GGGGTACTGAGTGTAGATTAATGAGGAAAAAAATGAATTTGAACGATTGTAGTATCAGGCTACAACATAACAAAATTGAAAAAAGGGAAGGGGGGCTGAATACTTTCTGAATGCACTGTATTACCTGTGTATATATTTTGTCCTGTCCTCTTCACATTTTCTGTATGTATCCTTTCTAGTTTATCAGATCTTCACTAAATTTTTGGTGTAATCATATTGTTTCTTCAACTGCCCTCCATTTTTCTCTCTTCATTGGAATTGTTTGTAATTGTGTTTTAATATCTTCTTCTCTAGGAGGTCCTAACTATTTTGAGCTCCTTTTCTTATTAGCTTCTACTACCATGCGATCCTGTTTAACACTGTTCAGATAGTATTAAAATCTACTTTTTTGAAGTCCAAATGTGTTTAATTATACACAGTTTTAATTTCCCTTTAAATCAGGAACTCCAACATTCCATGCTACATTTTCTCTGATTGTATCATTTTAAACTGAGCATGACTTGAGTGGTCTTCTATGCCTACCTAATTTACTGCATCTGGAAAATTAACATGCAGCATTTCACTTGTTTTATGAGAAGTAAGCCTAAAAACCACTGTGAGCAGTAAACAGTCTGCTCCTTAGCTTAAACTGCAAGTGACTGTAAATGGCATAGATACTGATATTTTGAACAGTTAAATCAAGCAAAGGATTGGATTTAAACCATTTCATTTGCACCATAAGTAACCAAAAGGATTGCTTGTAAAATAATTGGGTAAATGTTTATCAACTAACTTACATTGTAAGAGTCCACTGAAATTGAACTTCTTAAACTATAAATAGTTTTTGAAAACAGAGCAATTTATGTTTATGCTTTCCAGGCAGATTTTAAATTGATGTGTGACAATGCAATGACTTACAACAGACCAGACACCGTGTACTACAAACTGGCCAAAAAGATCCTCCATGCTGGCTTTAAGATGATGAGCAAAGTAAGACAACTATAACAGAGAACTTTCCGGGGCAAAAAATATAGATTAACCTTTGTAGTGGGTCATAATACAACATTATTTTATACTTCCAGTCTAGGTTCAGTTTCAGAAGGGTGGTTTGGGTGCGTGGGGATGTGAATGCAGCATGTGTCTAAGTGGCTTATTAAAGCAATTGCTGATATGCTGCATTCATACTTCAACATGTTCTTAAGCACTGAACTTTACTTTAAATAAAGAACCCTACTTTAGATCAGATATTTATAGCCCTAGAGGGCAGACCATGTTTTATAAAATAAAACTGGAATTTTAAAGAAGCTGAATTCTGTTCTTAATACCAAATGGTGGTTTCCCCATGCTGCTGGGTTTAATAAAGGTCTCATTGGCATTTCCATTATAAATCTCTATCCTTTTAAGGTGAAAAGCTTTCCTTTAAGATTTGGTTTCTTCAAGATAGAAATGTTGAATTGAAGCATTCACTCAAGAAATAAACATTGCCCTATTTAAATAAACATTGAAACTATTCTAGAATGTTTAAACATTTCACTATTTTTAAAGCTTCTTTCCATAAAATATTTAAGAAAATACATACATACTCTTTTTTAAAAACTGTTTGATTAAATTTTTAATGAATTTCTAAATACAATACCTACTCCTTCACCTACTGAATAAAAGCAGACAAAGTATAATGGAAATGTTTATATAAAATGAGCAAAAGATGGATTTGTGTAAGATACACCCATTATATGATACCATTTTTCAAAATTATAAAAAGCTGACTTTCAAACTGAAGAGTTGACTGTCTTGTATGAAGATTGTGGTAAGTTCTGTGTTCAGGTAGGTGGCCATTTTTGTGTATGGTTTCCCTTCTGAGGTAGGTTGCAGGTGTTCTGGTGTCATGCTGTCATGATTGAATCACCTTGCATCCTCATTGAAGATGTAGCTCTTAGGTGCAAAGCCATGGCCATTCCCATCCCATCCCATCATCATAGCATCTTCGCTATGAGGGAAAGGTGTAAAGTCCCTGCTGCTCTGTCCTTTCTAATTCTAGGAACGGCTGTTAGCTTTGAAGCGCAGCATGTCGTTTATGCAGGACATGGATTTTTCTCAGCAGGCAGCTCTTTTGGGCGATGAGGACCCAGCTGTTGAAGATCCAGTGCCCGAAGTTGTTCCTGTGCATGTAGAGACTACCAAGAAATCCAAAAAACCAAGTAAAGAAGTTATTAGGTAACCACTGGAGGAAATTTTTTGCTCTTTTATGCCTTTATTTGCAAATTAACACTCCCATTTTAGGAATGAATTAATCAGAGCATTGTTTTTCTGAGTTTATACCTCAAAGAACTGGGACAACATATAATGTTTGTCAAGGAACTTACGCATCTTGGGGCCCTTGAGCAGAATTGTTGTGCACCCCAAAAGATTTGGGGGCATGTTCTAGAGTATACAGTCAGTATAGGTGGCATTGGGTAAACACTCTGAAAATGAGTTGGAAGAATTGACAAACATGAGCACAGGGCATTCTTGGCATTCATTACAGCAGCTGATCTTTCAGGTTTCCATATGAGCCAGAAAAAAAAGTACAGCTGCAAGAGGCGCATTAATTTTAGTGAGCTGACTTCTTAAATCAGCCACATCTTTTTTGAGGCTAGAATGGAAGCCTGAAAAAAGAGGGCTTGTATTAATGAATAGTAGAATGGCATTCAATTTCAGGGTAATTTGAAGCAGTTCTTCCAAATTATTTTCAAAATGTTTACTGCACTGATGGGTATTAGTCTGGCACACTATTCCTATAAAAGATCAGACTCCAGGACATTTCCAGTGTTCCTGTGTAGTGGATATTGCAAGGGACTGTGAGTAGTGGCCTGTCCCTTGTTTCTGGTCATGTTAAAACATGACAGTAACCTCCTAAGGACTCCAGGACTTTCCAATTTCAAAACTGCTGACATCATCATTTGACCTTTTCATTCGTAAAAATGGATAGTGTTCTTCTTTAGTTAGTAATCCTTTTAACAAATACAATTGCTTTTAAAAATGAAGGTTTCTCTCTCTTAATTTCTGTGTTTTCTTCATTAAACCCCTCTTTTTTTCTTATTTGCTTTTTAGAAATAACATTGCACACTAATCTTCATAATATTTTAAAAGATGCTAATTTTGAAGTACAGGTAGTCCTCAACTTTGACCACAATAGGAACCAAAAACTCATTGTTAAGTGGTGTGGTCGTTAGTAAGACATCATGTGACCGCAACTTACGACCTTCCCTGCCGGCTTCCCCACTGACTTTTCTTGTCAGAAGCCAGCTGGGAAGGTCACAAATCACGATCACGTGACTGCAGGATGCCACAATCTTTGTAAATTCGCAACTGTTGCCAAGTGCCCAAATCACAATCACATGACCATGATGATGCTACAATGATTGTAAGTGTGAGGACTGTAAGTTGCTTTTTTCAGCACCATCATAACTTCGAACAGGCACTAAACAAATGGTCATAAGTCGAGGACTCCCTGTAATTGTTGGTTCTGAGAAGATTTTCAGCTCTAATTTGAAATATCTGTTATTCTAAAACTATGTATTTTTGGTACATTCGTGAAATTTTCCTTCAATGTAGCAGTGTAGTTTTCAGGATACTGCAGATGGGCATCTCAATATTTATAAGAGAGTATTGTAATTCATACTTCTGGTTGTCAGCATAGTTGCAGGTAAACAGATTCAAAACTGCTGATATTAAGAATCATTTATGTTATTATATATATTTATATGCCACCTCATCAAATACTCTAGGTGGTTTGTATTAATAAAAGAAATAAAGCAGTGCCCTAAAACAGCACCAATAAGTAACATTTTAATATAAAAACCATCAAGTACATTAAAAACTGGACGCTTCCATGACATGTGGTGCCAGGTACTCTGAAATCTCTATGGAAAAGAACTTTCTTAATGGCCTTTCTGAATGTGGGCAGGAAGGAACTATTCTAATCTTGGGAGGCAAGGGGTTCCAGAATGGGCAGACTGTAATCAAGAAAGCCTACCTCCAGGTTCCCACCTCTTAAACTCTCTGGGAAGAATCCGCAGCACATCTTCCTAGCCAGTACCTATAGGATAGCAGATTCTAGTCAGTATAGACAGTCCCAGAGGTAATGAGAACCTAGGCTATAAGTAGCATTTGGAAGTGGTTTGCCATTGCCTTCTTCCTGGTCTGAGAGAAAGAGTAACTCACCCAAAAGTCACCTAGCTAGCTTTGTGCCTAAGGTGAGACTAGAACTCATGGTCTCCCAGTATCTAGCCTGGTGCCTTAACTAGTATGCCAAAACCAGCCCTCAGTCCATCTAATATTAAATGTGGAATTATGATGGAACCAGAGGCAAGCAGCCACTTTATCATGTTGGGATTCATTCTACATGTAGTCCTCAGCTTATGTCCATTTCTTCAGCAACCGTTCAAAGTTACGGTGGTGCTGAAAAAATGGACTTATGACCGATCCTCGAAGTTCCGGCCCTTGAAGCATCCCTGCAGTCACATGATTGCAATCCAGGCTCTTGGGTGTCCGGCTTGCAGTTACAACATCACAGCAAGCAGCATCACATATTCACCATTTGCAACCTTCCCTGCCAGCTTCTCACAAGCAAAGTCAATGGGGAAGCCTGCAGGGAAGGTTGCAAGTCACCCCAGTAAGTTGCTCCTGCTGCTTTTTCTCCCAAGGAGCCCACTATGGAATATGAGACCCCAAGGATCTTGTACTCTGTAGAACCCCCCCACCTGCCCAAACTCTGTAGTATGTGCCCACCCGCAGCATCCCCTGTAATCCCATGGCCTCTGCCAACCCTCCCGCAGCTTCTGCAACCCATCCGAAGCTTTCACTGGCCCTTCTACAGTTCTCACCGATGCCCCCTAGTGCTCATGGCACTTCCCTTGCACTCCCCTTACCTGGGACTCCCACTTCTTCCCACTTAATGACCCACACGTCCTGAGGTTACAACAGCTGCCCAGATTGTCATCGCTAAGCAATGCGGTCACATGACATTGCACTTTACGACTGCATTGCTTAACAACAGCAATCCCATTCCAAATTGCTGTCATAACCTGAGGACTACCTGTACCCTGTTCAGTCCTATCCAATGCTTCACAGCTTCCTGGCACCAGGTTAAAACTTCCACTGTGTTTTCTGCTTGGCCAGGATGGAGATAGATAACTGGATACTTTTATCTGATACTGTATGATACATACGTGTATCATGTATACACACACACATACATACATAGGGGATACAGAGGAATACCATGACTGATGATACTGAACACTGCTGCAAGATCTAGCAAAATGAGAACTGGTGCAGTACTATATTCAAATCCCACTGAATATCATCCTAACTTCAGTGTTAAAGCCTGTTGTTTGGTATACACATTGAATTTCTTCCTCTGTCAAATTCCATATCAACATTTGAATTTTCTCTTGATTGATCCGGTAACTTGACCCTGAACAATTTTGTTTTACGTGTTCCATCGGCAATGTTCAAGAATCTTTAGGCTGAGCAATTTAAATACAATACCATCAGCAAATAAATTTTAATTAATGTTCTTGTGTAGTTTAATTCCTGAAATGATGTTGTTTTAGCATAGCTCAATAGGCAGTGGTTCTAGTACCGGTAAAAATAATGAAGGAGAGGGGGGCACCCTTATCCCCTTTAGTATATTGCTATGAAATAAGACCATTTATTACAATTTTGGCTGTTTGTTTTTTATAAATGCTCTATAAATATAAGAAAATTAGGGCTATAACCCATTTTTTTTCAAAACTGAAAGCATAAAAGCCCATTCCAAATTGTCAAAGTTTTTTTTTTTAGAAGAAATATCATGGCCAAGTTTTCATTTTTCTGATGTGCCTTATTGGTAATATTTAAATTATATGTACTATCGTTTCTCATGTATTTGTTTGAGATAAAGCCATCTAGTCAAGATGTATAATTTCAGTTAAAAGTCCATTTAGACTCTTAGTAAGAATTGTAAAAAACTTATAATTCACACTCAGTAAAGAAATGGGTCTGTATGATTCAAGATGAATTGGATCTTTTCCTTCTTTATAAATCAAAGAGATGAAAGCTTCTTTCCATGACAGGTGAGGTTCCTGGCATAACTGAATCTTGTTCATTACTTGAGTTAAAGGTTTAATTAGAGTTTCTTGAAAAATTCTGTAGTAAATTGTAGAAATACTGTCTGCTCCTGGAGCTTTATTCAGTTTCATTTTTTGATTGACTCTTTGGTTTCATGTTCTATTGTAAGCCAATTAAGAATTTATTTTTGTTGATCCATACATTTTTGAAGTAATATTCCATTCAAATTTTCTTCAATTTTACTGGATCAGATTCCTGTTTATTATATAATTTTGAATATTAAATAATGAATTGCTACATCATATGCTTCATTGTAGAAACATATTTAGAGCTGTCCCAAATGGATTATTATTTTGTTTTGTCCCTTACTTCATTGATATGTTAACAGTTTGTCTGGCTTATTGCCTTTTTCAAAATATTTATGCCTGGTGAAGCTCATTTTTGTTTATAAGTTTCATTCACTCCCAGTCAATTATAATAGTTCCTTATTGCTTTCATCTTTGGCTCTAAATCTAAAGTTGGATTGAGTTTATGTCTTAGTTCTAATTGTTTTAAATTATTCAGTAATATATCTTTCTGCTTTTGCATGACTTTCTTTCTGTTTGACTCAGAACAACCCTCCCATAAATGCTTTACTTGCCTCTCATACTGTAGCAAAGAATATTTATTTCAGAAGTTAAATTGTACTGGAAGAAATTTTAGTTCTTGATGATACTTCAGTTTAATATTCTCTTCTAACAATAGCAATTCTTTCAGATTCCATCTAATCAAGATGGCGGTTCATTAGGAGACAAAAGATCTGTCTCTTCCGGACTGCTGTTAATTGTTAGGTACTTGACAGAAGACCTAATTTTCCTTGGAGGCCTGTTCTCAGAGGGTAAACCCAGGGGACTATAAATCTTTATAAAGCTGCTTGCAGTTATGGCCAGCAATTATGTTGATAAGAACCTCTGGAACTGTACTTAACAGATATGCAGGTCAAAATCTCCCCTTTTTTCCTGATTTCTGGATATTTATTTTACTGCTTTTTCCTATGTCTACTGAATCTAATTAGGACTTATTCTTTCATTATCTGAATGGACTCTTGTTTGAATAATTTATAGTACAGTGGTACCTCGGGATACGAACATAATCCGTTCCGTGACTCTGGGCGTATCCCGAGTTGGTCATAACCCGAGGCAAATTTCCCC